TCTAATACCCAGATTGTGTTTGTGAATATATGACAATGTTTGGTACTTGTCTTAAGGAGTAGGAAAATGTAAATGTGAATGTGGTTGTGTAAATGTGAAGGCGTATGTTACTGTGATGATGAATATGAAAGTGAATGTGAATGTGAATGTCAGAACAAGTTTGGTTGTCTACCTATAATATCCAGATTGTGTTTGTGAATGTATGACAGTGATTTGTACTTGTCTTAGGAAGTGGGAAAATGCAAATGTGAATGTGGTTGTGTAAATGTGAAGGTGTATGTTAATGTGATACTAAATGTGAAAGTGAATGCGATTGTGAATGTCAGAACAGGTTTGGTTGTCTACCTATAATACCCAGATTGTGTTTGTGAATGTATAACAGTGTTTGGTACTTGTCTTTGGGAGTGAGAAAATGTGAGTGTGAATGTGGTTTTGTAAATGTTAACGCAAATGTTAATGCCAAATTTAATGTGATTGTGAATGCGTAGGTGTATATGAATGTGAATGTGAAGGTCAGAAGGGATCTTGGTTATCCATCTGTAATTCGCATATTGTGATGGTCAATGTACGACAGTGTTTGGTACTTGTCATAGGGATATTGAAAATGCAACTAAAAAGATTGAGGATTGATAACATGGTGTTTGTTGTCTACGTTGCTGAAATTGTTGCTTTGGATATTCACGTTACGTGTCGATGGTGGATTGTTGTTACAAAATTTGACTTCCCATATATACTATAAATATAATGAAGGTGAATGTGTTAAAAGTGTTTACTACTTGTGATAGGATGTTTAGGGTGGTGGGTTTTGTTAGATAGATGTGGTTCAGTTGTCTGTAGATGCCTTACATTTTAAAATTGTCATTCAGTAAGCATGTATGCTAGCACATTAACGTTGGGGTGTGCTTTGTCAATTTAATCTGTCAAGAATATGTTGTAATTTAAGATTGATTAACTGGTTGCACGATAACCTGTGTCATACTAAAAGAATAACACTAACATGACCTGGCTTCAAAAACTATGTCTTCTCACATACAAAGCCAGCGTGCAACGCACCATCCAAACGTATTTTGCTGGTTTGAAACATACGGATGCATGAACAAATAAATAAACATGTAAACCTAACATATGAATGAATGTAGTGTGAAGGAAAAAACCAGCTGAATGATCAATTATAAATAATGTGTTTACTTTATTAAAATTTGTTCATGCATTTGTTTTTATACATTCTATTACGATAATACGATGTTGCTATTCAAAACTGATTATAAAACTTCCTCGCTAAATGTCTATTACTAAATTGGTTCTTTATATGTCTTTCGGCTGTGGCTGCCCATGCGGCCACATCGATCGCACCTGATCTGACTTAGTTTCTCTCCTCGAGATGGTATTTGATTCTTCTTTGGTCGCCCTGGAGGACGTTTAACTGCCGGTGGATATATGATGAAGTCATTTTCTGAGAATGAGGGTTTGTCAACTGTTGGTATTGACTGAATGTATCCGGAATAAGCTGCTTTGTACTGATCGACGGTGAAAAATTGTTCGACACATGTACTAAAATCCCTTCCACTATTCTGTATTGCAATCACTGCATATGCATATGGGAATCCGTTCAATTGCCACTGGAAACATGAACATGAATACTTGACAACGTCTACCAACACCGTTGGAAATGAATGGACCTCGTATATGTCTTTATTTGCCTGTCTAACAATCCATGTGCAACCATTGAAGTACGCCTCCCTAACACAGCTTTTCATTTTCAGACAAAGTAATCCATTCCAATTAGTAGCCAATAATTTACGCTTAGCCCTCATAGTCATTATCTAATTTCTGATTGTATCAACTAACCTTGTGATTGGGTAGTTACGGGCATCAAGTATCCATTTATTAAATGATTCTGCAGCGTTCGAGGTCATCTCTTCATACCGTTTGCCCCTGTTGACATTATGAAAACATAATGAAAATGTTATCACATATTGGGTATTTTCAATGTTAGCATGCGTAAGTATCGTACAAACCTGAAATACGCATTGGCCCAATGGTTCGGTGGCATATTTTCCAAGAAATTATTTATTCCAGATTGTCTTGATCCTTTTAGCTTGGTCAAATGGTGCTAAAACGAAGCCTCGGTTGAAGCATATGCACATTCACACAATTTGGCCATTAAACCCAAACGAACACAATTGTCAACCCATCGTAATTTGTCCCTCAAATTTGTTTAGAGATATTGTAAGCAGTACGCATGGTGTACATATGGGAATACAGTAGGCAAGGATTCGAGCAACCCAACATTACGATTAGATACGAAAGTTAATGTGCGAGCACTATTGACAACCTTTGTCAAATGCTGTAAAAACCAAGTCCAATTTGCCGTTGTTTCGGAGTCAACAAAAGCAAAAGGTAATGGGAATAAACCTTGCAGATTTGACAAGTTTGATGTTAGATGAGTAATATTTTTAACAAAGTTTACATTCACATTAACAATTGTTCACAATTCAAATCGCACCATACACAATGTTATGAAAATAATATTAAATTGGAAACAATCTTGCTATTGAGGATCACCCACTGCTATAGTGGACTAATAAAAAATGTTTAGTCACAATGTGATGCGTTACTATATGGATTTTTGAAGTAATCATCGTAAGACATGTACCTTTATTGCCATCCTTCCCCGTCGTTGCAAGCAAATTGCCTTTAAATATACCTTTTAAAAAAGTGCCATCAAAAAACAATAACGGGCCGATATAGTTGAATCCGTCAATACAAGATTTGAATCGGCCGGTTGACTGCTCGAAATCCAAGTTGACATAACTCCTAGGATTGTACTGCATAACGGCATCTGCGTACCACCTAAGTTGATCGAATGAAACATGATAGTCACCATACACTTCGCCCCCTTGCATTTTCCACACCTAACCATGCTATGTGGTAATATATTCAGGCTGTGCTCCTTTTTTAGGTCAAACACGACGTCAGTGGAACGTGTAAGCGGCTTATCACGTAACCGATCATCAATAACATTGCAAACTAATTCAGAGTTAAGTCTACTATTCTTCCCAGTGCGAACAACAGCACCACAACTATGTAAGTTGTTCAACCTCTTCAAGTAAAAATATCCATTGCATGTTTGAACTCTTCCATGTACACCATTTTTGCTCTCGCAACGTGCACACTGCCGTGACCCACAGTGAATCATTTTTTACAAATTTGAAGTCAAACCCACGCTCAATAGCATATTTCGACAGAACCAAACAGAAAGCAGCAACACCCCTTTTGAACATTGGCCTACGTGACTAATGCCGTGTGACCAATCAACTGTCATCAACGTTTTCTCACTGTGGCGACAATGATTGGGCAACAAATCTATGCTAGTTTCGGGACTTGGTAATTGTTCACTATTAGGATCCAGTTGATTTGCAGATATAGTCCCACCGAATTGATTACCTCGAATCAAATCATCCACCTTATTTTGTGAGTCAATCGCAACGTTGATATGGGTAACACCAATGGACCTTGCAATGAAAAACATGTTTTCCATGTCCACATCATTACTTATCATGAATTGGTTCTTGTGACATGGTAGTTTGTAAGATATGGAAATTGATGATGGTGTCACATCCACCCACCTGTCACATAAATTTTGTACCAATTGTTTTAATGTCAATTCATTAACATCCCTGATAGCAACAGTGGATGAACCAAAGGTGCAAAAAAGCATGATGTCCATATCCTACGCAACAAAATATATGAAACATTAACTGTGTCACGACATTCTACAAAAAACAAAAGAACAATGCATGGAAAATATGTGATATGCAATCAAATGTGAGCGCAATAACGTTGATATCGCACAACGTGGTTCAACCCACATTCAATCACAATCAATCACATGAAATTTTATATCTGAACAATGACAACCTAAATTGAATATTATATAATGAAAAGTTAGAATAACATTAAAATACATTCCAATAATTTCCATCAACTAACAACATTGTCACATTCAATTAGAAAAAATGGAAATCAGAGAGTTTGCGAAACGTAATGTGACACATATGTCCATAGTAAATATAACAATGGGACAACACAATACAGAAACCATGCTCATATCCATGTGTATGTGAGTTATATTTACATACATTCCAATAGTTTCCACAAACAAGTAACTGTGACATTGAAATGGAAAAAAAAAAAAAAAAACCCAATAATTTTGTGATCCGTAATGTGACACATATGCTTTCAAAAAGTACAACAATTGCAAAACACAAACTAAATACCAATAAACGTAACACAGACAAAAAATGACAAACATCGCAGGTGTGGTTTAACATTACAACCTAAACGTAACAGCCTTCGAGCCTAACGAAATTGTGCCAATGTATGACTGTACCATTTCGCACAACCCAACAACATTCTCACATTCTCACTTTCTAATTTAAGAAGCGAACATAAAATACTTTTACGAAATATAATGTGACACGTATGTGAACATTATAATACAACAGCGTTACCACAGAAGTTGATGTGAGATTATCATTACAAAGTGTGCCAATGGATGGTTTTACCAGATTGCGAAATCCATACGATATATGAGGACATTGAAAACAAAACAATCAGGCAAAACAAAGAGTAACATTCACCAATTGAAGAAGCAGACAACTTTCTCTCATTTCCTCAAACAATCTGAGTCCAGATCGGCAACATGAAACAACCAAACCATCCAACCTAGTAAAATTTTGAAAACCCAACAGCCTTTGCGATCATGGCGCATATCACGACACCAAACAATTTGAAACAATACGGCTAAAACATAGAAACATATATAAATGGTATAATAGTAAACTAATAGGACTTCAAACTTTATATGAAATTTCATAGGACTTTCCATTACATAAGTCTCCCTAATAAGACTTATAAATAATTTGTTCTTAAAATAATTAATTTTTAAAATAAAAATTCACACATTAAATTTAAAAAAAAAAAATTAGATTCATTATCCGTTAGCTGGCGATCAACCAGGAAAACAGAAAAGGTGTCACCTTTTTGCTTCATCACTACCAAATTCCAGACCATTCTCTTTTCTTTTGTCCGATTTCGGATCTTCAAAGCCTCCCAATCTCTCTGCAATTCCAATCCACCGCTCCAACCTCTCTGTAAGTTCTCTCCCTCTATTTTTCTGTCTATTACTCATAAAAATCATAACTTTTTGTGCTCATGTTTATTATATTTCTCTCCAATTTTCAATTTTCCCCGAAAAAGCCATTTCTATAACAATTTATTGAGGGATTCACATGCATTGTATCTTCAATAGACGAGCCAAACCCTAGCGAATCGTAAGTCCATTCAATCACCTCAGATTCCACGATTGAATTGGTTCCGTTTGTTTCCCCGGAAAATTGTTCCCCATGGAAATTTTCGCTGGAAAATTTATAGTCAGCTTCAATGTTAAATCTTCTCAAAGATGAATCATTTATTTATTTATTTATTTTGTGGAAACAAAAAGGTTTCTGATATTATATTGTTTTGATTTTTAAGGAGATTTGTACGTTTGAAGTATTGATTTTGTGGGGGTAAATGTGGGGTTTATGCTGTAGTGAATTGGAGAATTGATGATTTTGAAGGGTAATTTGCAAGGGTTGTGATTGAAGGGATTGTAGAGGATGGCATGTCGCGGGTGCTTGGAATGTTTATTGAAGCTTTTGAACTTCTTGTTGACTCTTGTTGGTCTGGCCATGTTGGCATATGGGATCTACTTGTTTGTGGAGTATAAAAACTCAGATGAGGATTTGGCTCCAATCTCAGCCACGAGTGACGAAATGATACAGTTTGGTCGGCCAATCCTCATTGCTGTGTCTCTGTCAACCAGCATTTTCGATAACCTTCCGAAAGCTTGGTATGTGACCCACCCCAAATCTGTTTGTGCTTTTGGATTTGTATAGAAAGACATGTTTTATATCTCATAATTAGAATAGATTGCAATTAAACTGTTATTTTCTAGATTGATCTCGTTATAGATTTTCATTGATTGATGGTGCTTTGCATAGTTGAATTTGGTTCGTTATGATATGTTGAAAATGGTTTTGCCCAATGCATGTTTTGTGTTGCTTTCATTTCCTCCTGTCTTCAAGAATAAATAATAGTTTGTCTAGAGTGCATCTTCCTGTTTATAGGTGAGTGTTTCCTTATATTATAAAAATAGTAGCATAAATTGCATATAAACGATAGAGGGAACTAAGTCATGGCAAACTACATCTAAGAATCTGTGAGGCAATCTTTGTTTGGCATAATTTCTATAACACGTCAATGGATATCAAAGAGAAGGCACAGTTAGTGAAGCCTGCAATTCGAATACTGTGGTGTGTCAGCACGACAAGTAGAAAGGCAAAGAAGTAAGATAGGCAATTACCTTTTGTCATGGGAAGTAGGTACTGATACCAGTGGATAGAACAAAATATGGCCATGTTAGCATGGTTATTTTCAAAATATCTGCACAACATATATATTAGTTATGGTCGCTTTAGCCTTTCTGAAATGGAATTATGCCAAACTTGTTGGGTTTATTATATTTTTTCTAAACCTCAGTTGTGCTCAGTGTAATTTACCCTTGTATACATTAGCAATAGAATTTAGGTTGGTTGGATTGTGAGAGCCTCTACCCAAGTCTTGACCAAGTTTAATTCAGGTTGGCAAATTTTAGCCGAAGCCCTGACCAAATTTGAAATCACTGTCCAAGCTCCAAAATTTTGTGGGTTGGTCTCGGGTTGCTTGAGTTCAATCGAAGTTGTGCCCCCCTACTTGAGTCTATGCAATGGACATGTGTCCCAATGTTTTTTTTTTTACTTTTTGTGAAAAAAAAATTATAAGACACGTTTGGATATGTGCCGAACATGTTTCATTATATTTCAGATGAGTTTAGGTGTTATCATGTCAAACATAGACAAGCCACACTGTGAGATGTGTCATGTGTGTTGTAGGTGCTCACTAATTATGCATTTTTTTTTTATTATTTATTTATTATTATTTTTTTTTAATTTTTAAATTTTTGTCCAAATAAATTTATGGAACCTTTGTGATGCTATAATTTAACATTGATGTGGAATTTTTGCTGTTTAGTTTAGCTTTCGTTCCCATCCTTACACGTTGCACGCTGATCATACATGAGATGTGGTGATTATTTAAGGAATTTAGAATCATTTTCCTCAATTTTCATTGGTAGAATCATGATATACAATACTTGAGGAATTGATTATTTTTATGATTTTTGTGGTTAGATTCACAATGTGCACACTGTTTCAGGTCGTTTTTGCAATTTTTATTTTATTCATTATTTTGGTCTAAATTCACGTACACATTGTACCCTTACCAATTGTTTATTCAAGGAAATTTTGAAATGTGAGTTAATTTCCATTGTGGTCGTGTTTTTGCAGGTTCATATTTTTATTTATTGGTGTTGGTGCAGTTCTCTTTGTAATATCTTGTGTTGGTTGTATTGGAGCAGCAACACGGAATGGATGCTGCTTGACTTGTGTATCCTAATTATTGATGCATTTCGCATTTGTAGCAAAAAAGCATGGATCCGGACACAAACACACCAACATGGAAATTTTAAAAAAATATAGGATACGACAATTGAGGAACATATGCAAAATATATAATTTTTTATATTTATTATATGGCTTGTCTATTGTTTATATTTTTTTGGATGATGTATGGTTTCCTTAAGTCAAGACAGTATACAGTATTGGTGATATTGTTGATCTTGGTAGAACTGGCATGTGCAGCTTTCATATTCTTTGACAAAAGCTGGAAAGAGGTGAGCGTTATTCTAAGTGAACTTTCGAATTTCAGGATGGTATACCTATTAGGATATCTGATTAGTTGCTTTTTTGTTTGTTTCAGGAAATTCCAACGGATAAAACTGGAGACTTTGATATGATATATGAGTTTCTGGAAGACAACTGGGAAATTGTCAAATGGGTTGCTCTTGGGATCGTTGTTTTGGAGGTAAGCATAAGAATATGTCTCTTGCTTTTGAGGTTTACTATTAATTTATTCTTTATTGCATCTGAGTGATAGATGCAATGAAGTGAGAGCATTCCTCATCCATTAGTTTTGTGCATATATCTCATCTTGGATTTCTTACAATATGACAAATCGTACTTAGACATGCGCTTGTTTGTTAGACATGCCAACCTCGAAAGAGAACAAAATACAGCCATATATTTTGGGATCAGCCATCTGACATATAAACATGTGGCCACATTTGGTACGCAAAGAATGTAATAATGCAGAGTCCTTGTTATGTTGTGCTGGATTCACTCATTAAGCTTCCCACCCCCACCCCCACTCCAAACAAAACAAATATAGAAACCAAAAAAGAGGGAAACAATGAAATAACATAAAAGCTTCATTTTGCAGAAATCCTAGAATAACCTTATTTTATTTGGAAGTTCTAAAAATTTATGGTTGACAGGACTGGCATGGGATATGATTTTTTTTTTTTATTTACAAAAAAATAAAATAAAAATAAAATAAAAAAAATTAACTTGATTTGTCTGAATGTATAGAAGTGTAAAAAGACTTGATCAAATTGCTGGTAGAATTCAAAATTGAGTTGTTTATGTTTTTTTGGTCTATTAATGCCCTGGTTCTACTGACTACGCATGTAATTTGCAGGCTCTTCTGTTCTTGTTAGCTCTTATTGTAAGGGCTGCAAACAGACCGGTAGAATATGACAGTGATGATGAATATATTGGTGGCCCAAGGCAACAAATCCGACAACCATTGATCAACAAGCCACTGCCAGTTCCAGCCACGGGTGTCCCTGTTGCTGGTAACCTTGATCAGCGCGCTAGCAGAAATGATGCTTGGAGTGCACGTATGAGAGAAAAGGTGCAATCTGTTCTGTATACTATTGAGTTAGAAAAATTGTGTCCCTTATGAGGTAGTCTAGTGTGACATTTATCAACAACATGAGTGTATGACCATTTGAGAAGTGTAGCAAAGGCCTACAAATTTTATGTGGTGTTCAAAATAAAAATAACTTTTTTGACCAATCAAAAGAACTTCCATTTTGCCCTCTATTCCATGCATTTTCCCTCGTGTAAATTTTCCATTCGATCCATTTTGAAAATCTTGCCAAAATTTAGCCCAATTTGTCTGGTGGGTTCTCTACTTTACCCTGCTCCAATTTGATATTGATTTCAAAATTGTCCCTGTGATCGCAATCTGTACTTGAAAGATCTGAACTCAGAACACCACAGTTCCCACTATACTTTACTTCAAAAATCAAACAATTCAATTCTCAAACTTTCACATCTGACACTATTTGGAAACTCAATGACTCAATTGTATGGATATCATTGCAGAACAGTAGTTACTGCACGATGTTTCCCCTTCTACTTCTTGCTTGTACCCTTTTTTTTTTTTTTTCCTTCTGAATATAGCTTCTTTTTCTTTGTTTATCTTGCATGTAAAAACCAGTATGGGCTTGATACTACCGAGTTTACGTACAATCCATCCGAGTCAAACAGGAACCAGCAAACAGCAGCAGCACAGCCAGCTGAGGAGAAGAGTCGTTGCACCATCATGTAATTACCATCTCATTTTTGCACAAAATTTGAAATTGAGTTGGTTTGGTTTGTGGGAACTGGTTTTTCATTTGACCGGTGTGAGAACTTTGTATGTTAAGAAGACCAGTCTCTTTCTTTTTGTGAAATTTGTCTACGAAACACAATTCTCATGAGCTTTACTCATCATTTTTTTGCGACTCCTTGATTTCATTTCCAAATGGCATTTTCATTTCAATGTATTTCAATTTCGTGTAAAAATGCATGCTAGATTCAGGGCTGGGGTATTCAAGACGTGTGAGTTGTGTGAGGTTGACATTAATCCTGTAGAACAATATGCAATGGTGTCTATATTATTCAGTTTGTAGCCAAAGGAGTCTTGTAACATTTTGTTGGTTTGTTTGATTATTCAAATTTGATCAGTTTTTCTATTTTAGCAAGATTTGGCAGTTTGAAAATACTTGAATTGTCACATTGAAAAAGCAGCTGTTTTAGGCATTTGGTAATCACGATAAAAGGCTTTTGTTTTGTTTTGTTGTGTTTTGTTTTACCCTCACGTGTATCAATTCAGAGGCAGAGACATATTAGAACTGAATTCATATTGACATTGACCATGCAATGAAGCAAGTTTTTTATTTTTATTTTTATTTGAATCGTCTCCTTATACTTGTTGGTTTTGGATACTTCCCAAGTTCCAAGCATATTTGATGTTAACTTTTGATATATTTAAATAAATATATAAATAAAGGGTCATGTTAATAACAACTTAATGGATTATCAATAAGTTGAGAAAGTTTTGCAGATCATAATTTAATTTATTTTTTTGACCACTCAAAGGGTTATTAATTAACTATTAATAAGTCTTAATAGTTGTTTTTAGTTTTCATAAAGCTCTATTGAAAATAATCCTAGTAAAATTGTCATTAAAATAATTTATTAAGACGATTTTTGCATGTGGTTAAAAATTATTAATTAGCGACTTTTTTGTCACAATTTTTATAAATTGTAGTTAAAATTTATAATTAGTGATATTTTTTTGTAACGAATTTTTTTAATTTGTCACTAAAAATTAAAAATTAGTCATTTTTTTGGGACAAATTTTTAAGGGGATTTTTTTTTTAAGGTCCCTGGTATTAAGACTTTATAGCATAAAGGACATCCAATATTTTCATAATGTCTAAGGTCCCTCAAGTCAAACCAGAGAAAATTCAATCCAGAGAAAATTCAATCCAGTGAAATTCTTTGAATCAAACCCAGAGAAAATTCAATTTAATCCAGAGAAATTCTCTGGTCCAAACCAGAGAAAATTCAATCCAGTGAAATTCTTTGGTCCAAAACCAGAGAAAATTCAATTTAATCTAGAGAAATTCTCTGGTCCAAACCAGAGAAAATTCAATTCAGAAAAATTCACTCTGGTTGAATTTTCACTGAACTTCACAGAGAATTCTAGTTCACAGAGAATTTTTCTGGTGACTTCACAAAGAAATTCTCTCCAAATCAGCGAAATTCCCAAATTTCTCTGACCAAATCACATACTCACCACTGTGATTTTCTCTGGCCATCATCTGAGTTGTTGGAGCTCTGTAACTTGTCTGTTTCAACATTCCTGTTAATAGAATAAACAAAATTCGAGAGTTAATTTGAATTTAGTAGGGTTTTGAGAACCAGAGCTGGTTCCGAGTCTCAGAAAAGCAATAAATTCTCGAATATGTTGTGAAATGCAAATTAATGGAGAGAGAGAGAGAATGAGAGGAGTTTTGGAGATAGAAATAGTACCCGGGAGCAGAGTTGTTGTCTGTTCGTGTTATCACCACTACTTCGACGAACAACAGAACGAGAAGAAGCAAGAACTCAAAGAAAACCACTTCTTCGAGACTGCCATTGCCATTACTCACCACTCACTCACTCTCTCGCTCTCTCTAAGATTTCACTTTCTCTCTCTCAAAGTGGAACTGAGAGAAGAGTGAAGATTAAAAAAACAAAAAACAAAACAGAGCAAGGAGAACATTGATAGGTGAATCCGTACATATTGTCGTCACAAACATCACAACGTCTAGAAGACCCTGAATGTTGGAGCGTAAGGGAATGGGCGTGGATCGGGCGATTCATCTCCTCTGGAAATTCAGCACAAAATTTGTTCATAAAAAATAAACAATTTTTGCAACAGAATGCAGAACCAAAGATGTTTTCCCAACACACGTTGCAGACAATTGCCTCACCATCATCGTTCACTTCACCGAGTATCAATGGATGTTCATGGCTAAAATGTTGAAGCTCCATTTCTCTCTCACTACAATGTGGGTTTGTGTCTGTGTTTGATGATGTAAGTTCCCACAGCAACAAAAGCTTATAATAAGAAAGGAAATGAGAGTGGTAGAAGAGAGAGAAGCGAGGAGGAGGTCTGGATATAGAAAAGAGGAGGGAGAGAGTTTTAGAGAGAAGCGATGTGTAAAGGTCGAGAACGAGAAGAAATAAGAGAGAAGATAGCGAGCGGGAGCGAGGGAATTTACACATTATAAAATAATATTGTGAACTTCTTTCATTATTGAAAATAGAAAAAGGATTTTAGATTAATTTTTTTAATTTTTAAACTATCTCTAAAACTTATAAATAATGATATTTTTTGTGACAAAACTTTTAAATAATCGTTAAAAATTAACAATTAATAACATTTTTTAATAATAATTGATAAAAAAATATTATTAATTCTCATAAGATCTATTAAACAATAAATTTATCTATTTACACCTACACGAAAATCTTCCTTATATTTTCTATTTCCACGGTAGATTCTAGGATATTTCCACGGAGTCCGGATTCTCGGCCGCCCTTTCCGGCGGCCGAGGCAACAGCCCCCCAAAACGACGTCGTTTTGGGGGTTTTTTGAATTTTTTTTATGGACCTTAGACATCATAAAAATATTTGATGTCCTTTATGCTATAAAATCATAAGATCAAGGACCTTAAAAAAAAAACCCCTATTTTCTATTTCCACGGTAGATTCTAGGATATTTCCACGGTAGATTCTAGGAAACTTACATTGTAAACAACTAAAAGGAATTGGTCCAAAAAGTGCAATTGCTTCCTACCAAAGCAAAGCAAAGCAAATATTAATAAATTAACCCCCCAAAAAAATAAAAATTAATGCCGATGTTTTTGGTACTACAATAAGACCTGTTTGGAGATCTCAAAAAGTGGTTGTGGTGGCCTAGTCATCCTTAATTCTATAAATTGGTTCATAAGGAAATATAGCAAGACATTTGTAATAATACAATTGTTATTTTATTAGTAATTTAAGCAAATATTGTAATTGGGGACCAAATCGAAGATGGAAGCATAATTATTATTTTGATTCACTCTCTTTCTTTCCTCAAGTCCCAGAACGAAAACACACACACCAACAACAAAAATAAAATAAAAAAATAACAAAATTTATGATGGAGCCTACTTCTCAAGAATTATATCTACTCATTTGTTTTTGTATTTTTAGAACATCTTCAAAGCTAGGGATGATCACGGGACGAGTTTGAGGTGGATTTACCATTCTCCATCGTCGCTTCCGCCAACAAACTCCCCCACCCTATCCTAACCTTATTGCGGATGAAATTTTTTAACCCCACGCCAGCCCCTGTGGATACCCGATATCTGCGGATATCCGATCATATTTTAAATAGTCAAAAAAATTAAAAATCATTTAAATTTTTAGTATACTATATATATATATATATATATATACAACAATGATTCATCCCACTAATTTGGGAGCACTAATTGACCACTAATGATGTGAAAATTCAAAAAAAAAAAAAAACTTAAGACCAAAATATCACATCAATAAGTGGGACCCACCAATTAGTGCTCTCCTAGTGCTCTTAAATTAGTGGTCTCAAACATTTTTCATAAAATTATATAACAATCAATCAGACTCTATTCAAGTGTTGAAATTGATTTTGAACAAGCACACAAGATCATTATGATAAAAATCCAACAGGCAAAATTGTTGAGTAGGAAATTTCCTTAATCATTTGTGTGTAATTTCCTATGGCATTTGAACACGATGCATAGACCTCTATGGTGGAGCTATCACCACATGTGCAAAACGATATCTAACAAGACCAATGGGTTGACCAATGGGTTGGCCAAGTGTATTATTATTATTATTATTATTATTATTATTAATATTAAATTTGAGTAAAGATTTGGATTAAAAATTATTTGATACCAAATGTTTAACATTAAATTTTTAATTTTTATCAAATAACCGGTCGATAGAGGGAATAATCGAGAGGATGTCTGGGCAGTTGTTCAGCTTAGGGTAAATTTTCTTCAAATTTTTTGCAATTCGGTCGTTCACCTGGTTGATTGACCGATCATCTATCTGATCGTCCATTAATAGTCATTTGCGAAATTTGATGAAATGTAAAACACTCTCTCGATTTGATGAAAAAAAAGTAGGGATCCTTCCTTTGATACTAGTTTGGTAAAATGGTTGGAACACCATTATTATCAATTTTTTTTTTTTTTTTTTTTTTTTTTTTTTATCAAATTTAAATTTGATGAAGGATTTGACTTTGAATTGGAGATGTTCTTAGACGCATTAAAAAGAAAAGGGTAAATTATATTCACACCTCCTAAAGTTTAAGTTTAATACATATCACCCCTTGATGTTTAGAAAATTACACTGGCCCCCTATTATTATAATTATTTAGACGGAATTAACGTTGGTATCAAAAAGATAGTAAATTCATACACTCTTTTTTTTTTTATTACTTTGCTTTACTTATGTGTTTTATGTTTTTTTTTTTTTTTTTGCTTTACTTTTTTTTTTTTGGTAATATAATTTCCTCTATTTTTTTTTATTAGGAACTGTTACCTTTTATATAAGCAAAGATTTGTGAAATGAGACTATTAACCATAAGGATAAAAATATAATTTTTATAACATTAGGGAATGAGATATAATCGGACCAAACTTTAAGAGGTGTCAGTATAATTTATCCTAAAGAAAATAAAAAAGAGTGACAGAAAAAGAATTTTGTAATTTAATAAAATGAAAAATCGTCAACATGCCAAATTGGGAGGGTTTAGATCATTTCTAATGGTTTTTTAAATTTATCATCAAATTTAAATTTGATGAAAAAAATTACTTTTTGTTTCTCTAACGGCTCATCAAATCAATCAGGATTTCACTTTTCTTTTATTAAACTGAGAATTAATATGTTTTTTATCAAATCACTGTTTATTGCTGATGAATTTTCATCCTAAGATGTTTGCCGGATGTCCTGAATGACTATTTTAAGACAAAAATTTATGAAAAAATTACAGTACCCAGACCAGCTAGTCATCTTGCCAATTGTCTGTCCAATCGATGGTAATTTGATAAAAATATAAAACCCTCCAGTAAAATTCTTAATATTAAAAGGTTTTTATTTAAATTTAATATACCATTAGAGATGGACTTAATGACCATTCATTCATTGGAATCTTGGGCTTTGTTTGTTTTGGGTTATAGAGAGGAGATTAAGATTCATAGTGAGGTAGAACCTACTAATATCATGTTTATTTTGAGAGATGGATAGGGGATTCGTAATCCCCTCCGGACTATGAATTCCCTTGGGGAGGGGATTAGGATAGGCCTGTAAGACTTGGTATTAGAAAAATAGTCCGGCAGACTAGAAATTTTTTATTTTTATTTATTTTTTATTTTATTTTTTACATGTCGGGTATTTTTTTTTGAACATTAATGTTTAATTTTTGTTAAGTAAAAATTATTATTTTATTCATTTTATTTTTTTGAAAATTTTTTATTTTATTTTTATTTTTTAAAATTTTTTTACATGTTGGATATTTTTTTTAAAACATTAATGTTTAATATTTATATATATATTTTTTGTTTTATTATTTTATATTTATTTTATATAAAAATAATTTAACAATCCCCTCACTAATAACTATTATCAAAACAGGCACAAAACTATTATCAAAACAAACACAACTTTACTTAATCTCTTCACTATCAATCACTTTATTATTAATCATTTTCATTCTATATCTGAAAATAAACGGAACCTAAAGGGGAATCGTCGAAGAGGAACATAAAAAAGGCGGCAGAAGATGAGAAATATAGCAGACCGCAGGTTGCATTGCAGCTCTTATTACAAACAGAGAACTCCAATGCATGTACATATATATATATATATATATATATAAAATAGGTACAGATGTATGTATATCTTCAATTGCCTTGGCCACTCGCCCCCAAACCAAAGGGACGTCTTCAAATTTGTAGTCATCGACAAGGGTCGGTAAGTGGATGTCACTTTCCTCTCCTCTCTCTATCTATCTATCTATCCATAGATATATTTGAAAAATTATTCAATAATTTCATAACAGTATATGATTATATTTGAAGTCAATCATTAATTATTTAATTTTATGTTCTTCCGTCTCCAACATAAATCATGTTTTTATTTATTTTTATTAATTAAAATCTTTTAGAGTAACACTTGTTTATATTTTAAAAATACTGAATAATCACTCATATATATATATATATATATATGTGTGTGTACGTGTGTGGTCCAATCGGCAGCATAAAGTGATCGAATTCGTATTTTCTTTTTGCTAATGTTGAGTTATTATCAAATTTGAATTGAATATGACTGGTTCATATTGGATTTTTGATAATGTAGCTACATTTTGTGTCTTTTAATAAAAATAAAAATAAAAATTGATTGATGATGATGATGATGATGATTGGACAAACAACAATATCGATAATGCGTCCTAGGATGGTCCATTTCTTCTCTCAGTTTAAAAAGATTTGTGGGGAAACAATTTTTTTAATAATTTTTTGCCTCTTTATTAAAAGCTATATAAAAAAATAATAAAAGTGATGTGATAATTTATAATGATTTTTAACCTTTTAACTAAAATATGTAATTGGCAAATGAGATCTAAATTTTTCACAGATCCAAGCTGTTTTATATCCTTACTTGCATGTATAAAATTGTATCAGTAAATTAATTAAATTTTAAATTGAAAATTCGTGCGGAAAACTTAAAAAAATTTCAATGAGGATAATGATAAGAGGTCGACCCAGTGCCAGTTTGGATTTGGTGCATTTGGGTCCGTGTGATGCTGACCACAAGTCAATTGTTTGTGCACACCCAAAGTGAGCCACAGCTGTAGACTGGTTGGTCCAAATACCTGTGTTGTCCCACTCCCAAACAAATATATTTTGTTTTCCTCCTCATGCCTAACGAAATACGGTTAAAAAAATATATTGTTTTTGGTTTTTCATGTGTTTTTAAGAGGATACTACAGACCCAGAAAAAAAATAGTCTTTTACTGCAAACTCGTGTTCACATTCCTTCCATTACTTATTCAAAGAACACAACTTTTCAATGATTTCCCCAAATAAAAAAATCTTATCTTCCTCACTCCTTTCCCATTTCTTTATTATTCTATTTCCATGTCTTTTAGGCTTCGTTTGGGAAGTCATGGTTTGGGCTTTTTTGGCTATTTTAGCCACAAAAAACAAAATAGGCTATTTTAGCCATAACAAACAAAACATCACATCCAACCCATAATTATTACATTCTTCTCTCACAAAAAAACTCAAAAAAGCCAAAAAGCCAAAAAGCCCTTCCCAAACCAAGCTTTTAGGCCCAGGTTAAAATAGCCAAAAAAGCCAAAAAGCCAAAAAGCCAACCCACTTCCCAAACGGAGGCTTAGTCTGTATTTTAAGGTTATCCTCAAATCAATCCCAATATAGTAGGGGTGAATCTGGTTCGGATTGAGGTAAAATAGGACTAATCTGTTATTTACAGTTTTTAAAAATTTAAAATTAATCTAATCTGTTTAAATTGTAGAACCAATCCAAACCAATTCATTTAAATACGGATGGGATTGATTTAGGACTACGGATTCACATAATTAAATAATAAAAAAATATATATAGAACATTTTAATTTCATAAAAATATAAACCTAGTATCATATTAATTCCATAATAGTAATATGTCTTTCCACAATAGTGACATATTGTTCTAGAATTTAAACAACCATAAGAAAATTACTTCCACCATAAGTATTTAGACAATTACAAATTAAAATTAAAAACTAATAAATGAAAGTAATAAAAAAAGATACTATACGGGTTTAAGTTTGGGTTTAGGTTTTATATGGAATAAGAGAAGATATTATGCAGGAGGGTATATAATATACATATAGGCTATTTATATACGGTTCAGATCGATTCCAATCCGGAATCGTTGGGTTCAATCCGGAATCGTAGAATCTGGAATTAGACTAGACTAGATCGGATTACAGATTTCATGGATTCTTTACTAAGCCCTACAATATAGAGCCTTTGACCGTACCTTATTTGAGACTAAATATTTTAGTCAAAAAATTACTATTAAATTATCATAATTTTTCTATTTTTTTACATATTTTTTATTAAAAATTAAAAAATTATTAAAATATCTTACTCCCAAACAAAGACAGAGACTCTTTTACACAGTTGGACCTTATCACCGCCCATATATATTTATTTATGCATGTACATACTTTCCTGCCAATAAATCTACAGCTGGGTTTTACTTATGAATCACTCAGTTGACCTAAAAGTATAAATATTTTTTAATGTCTCTGTCAATCTGCTATTATTTATTTTGAGTCATGCCAGATTTCTGCTTGTTTTCATGACGTGGGTTTCTTTGCTAAATCTTGGCTGTTAATTGTGATGGTATTGATCAATTAATTATGGTTAATCGGTCTGTTAGGCGGTGTCTTACTTTATACTTGCTGGTCTTAATTAGTGTTTGTGTTTGGCTTATTTATTATTGTGGCCTAAAAGTTTCTCAATTCATTCATAGATTTGTTTGGGGAATAGAAAAATTGGTGGGTCATGTTGTAATTGAGTCAATATTAGCTCAATCAGAAGTGTGTGTTGATCTTGCATTTAACAGCTGTAGTTACCCACCTGGTGTTTTCAGTTTCTTGTACCAATTTGCTTTTGGATGGATGCAATTTCTTTTGTTTTTTAAGTAGTTCGACTCGTGCAATTTGCTAGTTTTTTTTTTTTTTTTCTATTTAGAAATGGTTCTTTTTAGCTGTTGGTGTCAATGGTCCATATCTCACCCACTACCTTGCTGAAGTTATGTGTATAGGCATCGATTGATTTTAAGTGCTACAGAGTTGTCGTAACTGAAAGCGACATTCTAATTTTTATAGATCTTTGTTTGTTGAGTTTTGATTGAATTTTCAATAATATCATGCTTTTATAATTTGATGAGAAAACACCCATGTCTATTATTAATCCTCACCATTACTTTTTTTCTGTCCTTCCTGTTTGGTCCTAGTACGAATCTTCTGTGTATTTGGCATCGAACAAAAACAAAGCCTAACCAATACTAATGCTTTTAAAAACCTCTCATTTAGGATATTAAACTCCAAGAACACCGGCAAATATATAAGCCAGTGTGGCTGATAACATAATTAAGGACAAAAGCTCTCCGTTTTCTTTGTTGTTGTGTTTCTGAGCTTTCATTTCATATTTTTGACTGCGCGACAATGAAAGTTACGAAAGGAAAGCACCCTGAGGTATGCTTGAATATGCTTTATGCTTCACTTAATATGGGATTTTGAAGTTAGCTATGTGGTCGTTTGATAACTGTTTTTGATGCAAATTGTGACAGCCCTTTTGGCCTTCCATTGTGATGAAGAAATGGCTAAATATCAAACCCAAGGTGTATGATTTTAGTGAAGATGAAGTTGACACGGAAACTGAGAGTGAGGATGATGGTATGGACTTTGTGAATTAACTATGACAATTGTTTTCTGGCACCTATTGTGTTTGATCAGTCTCTCTTTTTTGCATATCTATACAGCTTGCTCACTTAAAGATGAAAGAATGCATGTGGGTGATGATCATATCCGCAGAATACAAGGGAAATTATCTGTTTGCACAAGTCAAACTTCAGGCAATACATAATTCCAATTTTAAGTGATTTCTTTCGTTTCAACTGATACCTGCTCTATTTATTGCAATTTAAACTCGAGTTACATCTAATTCTATTTTTGCTCTCACTTGAATCTTCTTTAATTGCTGTCTAGTTTAACCAAGAAAATTAGGTGGCCTGCCGCCTTTTGGCTTTAATGAACCAAAGTTTCTGTCAAGTTTCATTTTGATTCATTATTGAACAGAAGCCATATTGATAGTTTTGGAAGCTGAAAATCTTTAATATTATAGATTCCCCTGATAAGCTCAATTAAAATGAAATACAATGACAATAGGAGTTTCAAATTTTGAACTTTTTCGTCCAGGGGCACCTTCTTTAACGAGCCATACATCCAGACACAGGAGAGGAAAATCAGAAACGCTGCGTCTTCAGTATATTAATACAAAGGATGTGAGGTTCGATATAGAAGAACCTGTTATGGTTTCTTTTTTTCTTTTCTTTTTTAATGATAAAGAAATCCCAATTTTTTTCCTGTCACTGACATATTGTGTCACCTATTTTTCTATAGGGTGACAATAGGCACTTGGAATGTTGCTGGAAGACGTCCATATGATAATCTTGACATTGATGAGTGGCTTTGTATGAAGGAACCAGCAGATATTTATATTCTTGGGTGAGTTTCCTCGTATTGCCAAGTTTAATCATGTTAAGAGATTCCTGTTAACTTGTCCATCACAGGGAGTAGAAGAAAAAGTAAATAAATAAAGAAAAGGAAATAGAAAATAACAACATTATATACTTGTACATTTTATGGATGCATCAAGAATATTGAATAATTCTGCCAAAATTGGAACATCATTTAGATTTCTTTTTAAAATCCTTAAAAACAACTTAATTGATGACTAGTATTTCGTGTTTTTTAATAGCCACAACCTCAATACGGTTATTAATTATTTGCTGACTTCATATTTTTACTTTTTATAGACAGCACAAAATACTAAGATGGGGTGAGGGTGAGGGTGAGGGTGGGGGTGGGGAGACGGAGAGTGATTTGATGTAATGGCATGTTTGAACATCGATTGGAAATTCATGAAGTCCATTGTTTTCATTATGGATTTGATTTTTGAGTTAGGAACTGTATGCAAAATCCTGTTTGTACCCTTCTGTATCGAATGTGAACTAAGCAATTATGTAACAGCATGTTTTATGTCCCTTTAAATTCATCTAGTTCATACTGTATTTTTTACATCATTAAAAATGATGTGTATTTCTTAACAAATTCTTCAAAATAATGGTTTCAGGATTTACTGAACAACTTTATGTCGACTCCATTCGACAGTGTGCTAGAACTGTATAACAAGACTTTGTTTGCAGAAAAATTCAAAGGATATCAAGAATTTTTTTAATTTACATTCAATTATATTTGACCTTTTACAGTTTCCAAGAGGTGGTACCCTTGAATGCCGGAAACGTTCTGGGAGCGGAAACTAGAAGGCCAATTCCAAAATGGGAATCAATTATCCGTAGGACACTGAACCGATCTATGGAACCCAAGACCACACACAAAAGTTGCAGTGCTCCACCTTCTCCCGTATTAAGGACTTCTTCAGCTGCTGATATTCTTGCAGATGAGATTGATGATCCTGCATTCGAGATGTTGGGTGAAGGGGCTATAGGCACCACTAATATCAGTGATTTGAACATTTGTAAACTGAATGACATTGTGGGTATGGGGAAGAAACTCCAGTTCAAGAGAATATATGGCATTGATAGTGATGGTAGATTGGACTGGCCTGAACAATCCTTGGACACGACACCTCAAGTTCTTTCTTCCATGTGTAGACTACGGAGAGTATTCAGCAGTTCTGCAAGAGTAGGCTCTGATTGGATGGAGAATCCTCTAGTACTCAGTCCTCAAGAAATTGAGTCCACTGGATTGAAAAGATCACATCGTAGCTCTGGAAACCTTGGATTGATATGGATGCATCAAGTAGAGAGACGTGATAATCTTGATTCTCTTTCTGATGTCTCTGACCAGTTTTCCTCCAACCGATTTTCCTCTGACCAATTCTCTGAAGAGGAAGATGATTCCCTTCTAGAAGTATCTGAGGTGCTACATGGAAATGGACTACCAAAAGACAAAGTGAAATCGCGTCCTAAGTATGTCCGGATTGTCAGCAAGCAGATGGTAGGGATATATGTATCTGTCTGGGTACGCAGAAGGTTGAGGAGACATATAAACAATGTGAAAGTCTCTCCTGTTGGAGTTGGGATTATGGGTTACATGGGTAACAAGGTATGGCTTTCTATTCATGCTAAAGGCACACCAACATATATGCCAAACGACATTCAATGGATATCAACCTAATAAATGTCTCTGTTACAGGGTTCTGTTTCTGTTAGTATGTCTCTTTTTCAAACACAGCTTTGCTTTGTTTGTTCTCATTTGACCTCTGGTCAAAAGGATGGGGATGAACAGAGGCGTAACTCTGATGTGCATGAGATCATGAAACGTACTTGTTTCTCATCTGTGATCGATTTTGATCAACCACAGACAATTCCAGCTCATGAGTAAGTTGCACATTCAACTTAAAATAGATGTAATCTGCTTCTGCAGTCTTGTTTTTATTTTGAAATTTTTTGAGGGCAAATTATGAATTATTTTCAAAGTGAAATAGTAAAATTGGCCATTCAGAAAGGTTTCATTACATTGATATACTAAACAAAATAAAAAAACTTAGTGCGGAACTTTCAAGTAGTTGATCTCAATAGCTATATGCTGCAGATAGTGTCGCTAATGTAGAGATTAGAAATAACTTCTTAGATCAAGATATATTTCTTGTCAAGAGAAATGGTTTCTACTCATCTCAATAGCTATATGCTGTAGATAGTGTCACTAATTATTATTTTTTTGTTATTGTATTTTTGAAAATGTATTTTGAACATGAATTTGTGATTTGAGTGTTTCTGTAAACAGTCAGATATTCTGGTTTGGGGATTTGAATTATCGTCTCAATATGTTGGACGCAGAGGTGAGGAAGCTCGTGGCTGAGAAACAATGGGATGAACTTCTGAACAGTGATCAGGTGAGTGAGACTCATTCTTGATTTGGCCTGTTTTGGTGAAAAGTTTTCTGCCTTTGATAAAGCAATGGACTACTTAAAATATCGATCTTGTTTACATCCTCTGATTCATATGAGACTGTTAAAAAATACATGTCATGACAAGATTAGTTAACATATTAATCTTGAAAGTGTGAGATTGTGATAAATGGAAACATGATGGATGTGGCAGCTGAGCAAAGAACTTCGCAGAGGGCGTGTGTTTGATGGATGGAAAGAGGGGTCATTAACGTTCCCACCGACTTACAAGTACGAAATCAACTCGGACAGATATGCTGGTGAAAATGCGAAAGAAGCGGAGAAGAAGAGATCCCCAGCATGGTAAGTATGATTTTCTTGGAATTGACAAGATTAGCAATCTTGGATTGAGGAAAAGAGATTAGTAGGGGGAATCGAAATATATGCCATTTTCAGGTTTAGGTTTGGCCCCCTCTCCTTAATGCCCTTTCTGGGTCAGAGTTAGGCTATGGTTTGTGCACAGTTTTGTAGGTGCGCCAATGTTTCTGACATTCCAAGAGTCTGACTTGAAACTCAGCTGAGGATAGAATACCTCAGCTTAATTCTGTTTGGTTGCGCTTTTGTTTCCTATTTTCTGTTTTCATTTTCATTTTCATTTTCAGTTTTTGGAAATTGGAAATGAAAACTTGTTTGGTATATTGTTTTTGTTTCCAAAAAAGTGAAACTGATTCCAAAATTTCAAAATTTTTGGGATCAAAAAAAGGTGTTCTCACTTGTTTTCACTTGCTCCTCTCTCCACCATGACCTCAGGCCACCACCCACCACCGCCATCACCCTTCAGCACCACTGATCACTGGCAAGCTCCAACAAGCTCCATCCACCTTCCAGCAACTGGTCAGTCACTGCCTATGACCTCGGGCCACCTCCAGCCACCCCCACTACTGGCCACCACATCAGTTCACCCCCCACCTCCGACAACTCATCAAACATGTTTCTTTATTTTTATTTTCAAAATTTGATCCTATTTTTTGTAAACAGAAAACAGGAATTTGACAATGTCATTACTTTTATTTTTATTTATTTATTTTTCAGAGAGAGAGTTAGGCCAACTTGATTTTTTCAACTTGATTTTTTGTCTAGTCCCACAAAAATGGAATGGACAAATTATGAAAAAGTGATGGCATAAACTCCCTAGTTTGCAAGGTCTTTGCCGAACTATTAGGGTGATTGGGTGACCAGTTCTTACATACTTGGGTATTATGCAGGTGTGATCGTATACTATGGCAAGGGAGAGGTATAAAACAGCTTTCTTACGGGCGAGCAGAGATAGGACTCTCAGATCATCGACCTGTCAGTTCAGTTTTCTTGGTTGAAGTTGAAGTTTTTGACCATCGGAAGCTCCAAAGGGCTCTCAATTTCAACACTGCATCGATCCATCCTGAGATTTTTATTGATGAAGGAGGAGAATTAGAACTTTAGCAGATAGCAGGTAATCTAGCTAAGCATAATAACAAATGGAGAGTGTATAGTATATATCATTGTCATTCTCTCAGATCATCCTGTGTTTGATCTTGGATTTTGTAGAGGGAAAAGGAAAGAAAAAGGACCTCTCTTTTTTTGGTTGGGTTAGGAAAATGAGAAGGAAATGAGAAGAAAATGTTTGTCAAAAAATATTCATTTTTAGTTTGACTACCTATAAACAATGAGTATATATTAGTAACTCTATTTCCCTTTAATTTTTCTTTGACAAATTCAAATTCCAAATACAGCCTTAATGTCATAAGTTCAGATTCATCTCTTTTAATATTTTTTGGTTTATTTTCATTTTTTTGGTGGACTTTGTTTTCAAGCAGGACATATACTTGAAGCATGGAAATACAAGTTGTTTTTGACAGGTGAAGATTTTTAGGTCATAACAAGCATGCAAATTTCCATATGTTGAGGACAGTGGCAGATACTTGACACATGATTTGTAAAGATTTTTTTCAGTTCAAATGGAATTTATAATGAGAATACATATATAGCTTCAAGAGTGGTTTTTAAGAACTGTTCTTTCATTGGATATGTAGCAATATAGGTAGCGTTGGGTAGAATTTTTTAAATATGATTTGAGAATAAGAGTTGTATTTTGAATTTGTGAGTTTTGGAATTATGATTTGAGTGTAGAAAATTTGTTTGGTGAATGAGTTTTGAAAAGAGTTTTGAATTGAGTGGAGAATTTTTGATGTGACATATGATATTTGATACAAAAATTTACAACTCATAACCAAACACACAATTCAAAATTCTATCAAAGCTCATAAAAAAATTTAAAAAATTTGAAAAATATTTTTTGTTGAATATATAAAAACTAACATGTGTCAATCGTACAAAAAAAAAATGCACTATTCTAGGCAACTGGCCGGACGACCGGTGAGACGTCCGGTTAGTCTAAATTTTCTCGCATTCGACCGAGTTTTCAAAAGTGAACATGAAATTAATTTTTAAAAGCTACAAATAAACACCACGTGAGAACATTATATTGGAACTAAATTTTCAAAACTCAAACAAATAGAGCCATAATGAATCTTGAAATAATCGTTATTTAAGTGGATATTGAAATTTGGTTCTATATACGATCTAACTCTTTTTTGCTTTTTTATATTTCTTTAATTTCTGTTTAAATTTGATTTATTTATATGATAAATTAATATTGAACGAGCTTTTAATGAGCGGAATTCAAAGAATTGGATTCATTAACCACCCTAACCATGACATACCAATCCAAACATAGATGCTTAGTCATGAGCCTCCAAAACTAAATAGTTTAAAAATATATATATATGCTCAAAATTCGGCAGTATGGTGTGTACATATTTTAAATTCTAAATTTTTTTTTAAATATTTATTTTTTTCTTAATAAATAATGTAAATTTGTACATCTTGTACTTGGAGAAATCCCAATCATTTTCCTTTGTTTGGAGCATTTGTTTGATGTCTTTCAGTTTGTTGCCTTGTAAGAGAATCATTCGTCTGTGTGAATCGTCAATCCCAAGACATTTTAATCTCAAAAAATAAATAATAAATTACACTAATTTCTTTTGAGATCTAAAAAAAAATGTGCATTAAATTTTACAAAATTTACATAATTATGTCATAGTTTCTTAAAATTTTATGAGTCTTATTAGAAAAATGACTTATACCCCCACTGGGGGTCGACCCCCAGTGAGGTGGAGGGCCATGATTGGCGGAAAAAAACTGTTTTTTTTTTTTTTTTTTTTTTTTTTTTTTTTTGGGGGCCGGGGGGGGGGGGCCTCATTCAGTTGGCAGCCAGTGGGGGCGCGCCATCTCACTGGGGGTGCGACCCCCACTGGGGGTATAAGGCATCACTGGTCTTATTAACATGTATCCTGGAAACACGTGATAAAGAAACTTAAAAGTATTATATGTTTTTATTACACTTATTTTTTTGCATAATATATAAATATACAAGTATCTTAACACGTGTTTTAAATACTTTCGTTCAAATTTTAATTTATATAATAATTAATTTCATTTTCAATAATAATTCATTAGGCCTTTAAAAAAAAATTAGTCTCATCTTTTATAAAATTGCATATTTCACCTGCATGTAATTTACCTAAAAGGAAATATATACATTATCATATAAACTGTTATTTTGAAAAGTAGGTTAAAAGTTAATTTTTAATTTTTTTTTTAAAAAAAAACATGCAAAAAAGTAAAGAGGTGATATAACTTAAAAAAAAAAACTAAAAAATTTAAAAAGTCCAAAAAAAAAAAAAAACCAAAGTTATCGAAATGAGCCAATAGGATTGTTTTTAGAAGATCATAAAAAGTTGGCTTTTGGCTTTTCACCAAACTTTTTGGTTTTTTTGGAAAATAATTTGGGAAGTTGGTAAAAAGCTACTTTTGATTTTTTTATTAATATTTATTTAGGGAAAATTAGTCTAAAGTCCCTCTTCCATTTTTAATAATGGAAAAGATCCACAATATTATTTTTGATGTTTAAGATCCTTAAATCTCATACCCATCTATTACAGAGAAATTTGATATATCTCACCCTCTTTATCTCTCTCTCTCCCACAACTAAAATTATATACAAGTAACAGAACAAACAAAAACAATTTTAAAGCACTTAGAAAGAGAAAGAGAGAGAGTACATGAAGAGAGATGTGATCAAAGACGGTGTCAAAACAGTCCGAAATTAGGGCTTCGACAACAATCTTCATTCCATGACAAGCATCGATGCAAAGCTCCTTCTCTACGGAGGCCACCGTAACGTCAACGCCGCTGTGCCACAGTATATCGATCATTATCACCGCTTCCATGCCGCCGGAAAACTCATCAGATCCAAATCGGTCTGTATTTGAATTATAATTCTTTGATTAGAGAAATATCCAAAAAGATAGCGAATCTCATGAACTCACTGATCTCTATCTCGATGTGAATATTCTCTCTGGGACTATACCTCTTGAGATTGGAGATATGGCTAGTCTTCAAGGTTGATGTATTAGTTTTGTAAAATTTGTATTAGAAATTGGTTTTTATACACTTTTCTAGCTTAGGATTGATGTGAAAGATTCTCTGGATTTAGTAGAAAGAAACTTGAATTTTTCTTTCAGATTTATTGGCATTCTTTGTTTTGAACAAATGGATTTGATTTGACTAAATAGCTTAATGAAATAGAAAATGGCTTTTATCTTGATCTTACATTTGTGGGTTTACTCTGTTTCTGGAAAAATTTTACTTTCTTTTGTGTATCTGTACCTCAACAGAGTTCTTGAATGGTATTTTTGCTGGCAAATAAAAAAATAGCTTAGAGTCCAGGAAAGGCAGAGAGGCCAGAGAAATTTCAAAATTTCTCTAGAAAGGTAATATTGTGGAAATGCAGAGAAATTTCTCTTGAGAGTAGGAAGTATATGGGAAGTATATGGAAGGCAGAAAATTTCTCTAGAGAGTCCATGAAAGGCCAAGGGGGCCAGAGAAATTTAAAATTTCTCTAAAGAGGTAATTTTGTGGGAAAGCCGGTGAAATCAGAGAAATTTTCAAATTTCTCTAGAGTGTTGAGTCCAGGAGAGGCAGGGAGGACAGAGAAATTCTCTGGAATAATTTTATGGAAAGGCAGAGAAATTTCTCTGGGAGAGTGGGAAGTATATGAAAGGCAGAGAAATTTAAAAAATGAGAGGGTAGAGAAATTTACAGTGGGAAGTTTAGGGAATGTCAGAGAAATTTTGAAAGTCCAGAATTTCTCTGGACCAATTTTCTCTGTGATGTGAATTTCCTCTGGATCAACTTGAGGGACCTTAGACATTATTAAAATATTGAATGTCTTTTATGCTATAAAATCTTAATACTAGGGATCTTAAAAAAAAAATCTCCATTTATTTATGATGTCACATCACAATAAAATGAAGAGTGTTTTGAAAAGATCATAAAAAGTTGACTTTTGACTTTTCACTAAGTTTTTTTGGATTTTTTGGAAAGTGATTTGAGAAGTTAGTAAAAAATTGCTTTTGATTTTTTTGGTTAATATTTATTTATGATGTCACATCACAATAAAATGACCAAATTATCCCCACCAAATTTAGAAAATTTACATGTTCACCCATGTATAATCCTAAACAATATAAATGGTATAATTGTAATTTTCCATGTAGCTTTTTTGACCTTGCCAAATGACTTCTTGCTAAAAAAGCAAATGTAACTTTTTTTCCCCAAGCTGCAAATGCAGCTTTTTACCAATGTTGCCAAAAGACCACATAATAACTGCTAAATTATATAAAAGCCATGTTTGGCATACCCACTCGGGGTTATTTTAGCCACATACGACAAAGTTGGTTGACGTGCTTGGACAGCTAGTGTAGGCAATGTCGAAATGACCAAATTATCCCCAGTTTCATTACCGTCATTTGTAAAAGCTCTTCACTGTAGATGAAGGGCATTTTCATAATTTTGCTTATGGACACATCATTCTCAAGTCAAAAAAGTCAAAAAAAAACTAAAAAATTCATCCCAAATGAAACTTTTTAATCCTATACTAAAATAGTCAAAAAACTAAAAAACCAATCCATATCCCAAACGAAAGCAAAGTCTACGGAAAATTCTATTTCCACACACCACATTGTCTCTGTCCACACACTTAATAAACTTTATTTTTATTACAAATTTATCTTTAAATAAAATGACCAAAATAGACATCCATCCACACACTTAAACATTTAAAATAGAGATCTCTGTACACATCTTTTTCTTATAAAAACCCTCTGTACACATCCACTGTCCATTGCCTATGTTATTGACACTCATTCTCACACACTTCACTCTTTTTCACACTCTCCATTGCTACCTTCTTCTTTCACTATTTCTCACATTTTATTACCTACCTTTTTCCTTCATTATTTCTCACACACTCCATTGCCTACCTTCTTCCTTCATTATTTCTCACACACTAGACTCCATTACTAACATTCTTCCATTGCCTAACACATTTTTTCCTTATCCCCAAAATATCCCTTAACGCTCTTAAATTCAATTGCTTTAAATAACCATCATAATTATTAAATCCAATTTATTCAAATAACTATTATTTTAAATTTAACACGTTGCTTGACGTGTGTGTACCCACTTCTAGTATATATATGGGGGTTGGGCAATGAGAAATGTGACAAAGAGGGTAGAGGAATGGAAGGTGAGGTGGTGAGTAACACAAGAGGGGAGTTTGGTGGTTCACTCCCAGTTGAGAATGTACAAGCACTTGCTTCTTCCGTCATCACCAACTCCTCCAAGGACATACCACATCGGTATCTCCGACCGGAGGTCGAGTTCGATCAAGTTTCAGCCGACGAGTCTCTGCAAATTCCGGTGATTGACATGACCAAACTTCTCGTCAATAATGATACTGATCAAGCTTATGAATCTGCAAAACTTCATAGTGCTTGTAAAGCTTGGGGCTTCTTTCAGGTTCTTCATATTCTTGTTCTTTTTCTCTTTTCCTATTCTATATATGTGATTCAATTATTATTTATCTAATGATTACAGCTACGTAATTTTATTACATTTATTTTTATAAAAATAAATGACAAATATAATTTTAAAAATAAATTATTCATGTTTTTAAAAATAAAATGATGGAATCATATAATTACAATTATTAGTTCGAATTTGATTTTTTTTTTATAGAAGATTTCGTTCATAAAATTAACAAATTGTATAGAAGATTATGAAAAATTATATCATAGTGGGGCCATTGCAAAATAAGACATGATTATGAAAAATTGTATAAATTACACTCACCTCCATACGTTTTGAAAAAAAATATAATTAGTCTCACACTTTTGAAATAATTAAAGTGGCCTCCTTTAAGGTTTCAAATAACATAACAGTTGAATCATTTTTCATTAATAATTCATTAGTCTATGAATAAAAAAAATAATATCGTTATATATTTTTCAACTAAAATGTATATTTATATTTGTTTATTTTAATATCTACCCACTATTTTAATTACTTTCAGTCGCTTTAGTTATAATAAACTAAAAATTAGTGTAATCATATCAAAAGTGTAAAACTAATTGTATTTTGCCCAAACGGATATGTGAGTGTCAAAAGAGAGATCACTACAATTATGTATTTTTATTTTATTTTAATTTATAGGACTTGTGTATTTTTTTATTATTTCAATTTATACCTACATACCATACATTTTAGCTACACAATTAGAATATTTAGGCCTCGTTTGGGAATAGACTTTTTTAGTAGTTTTTTTGATTTTTTAGCTAAAATATGATGTAAAAAAATTTAGTATGTTTATAATGACTTTTTAATTTTTTACGAAAAGATGTGTAAAAAATAGAAAGAAAATGGAATCTTTAACTTTTTTGCATAAATTGTTGATTTCTTTATTTTTTTTTAGTGATTTTTTAATTTTTAAGCTAAGAAATGATGTTGCCAAACGAGGTCTTATTGACTCCCTAAATTAACAAATACTAAACACACAAAAAGCATAAATACACCATTGTTGTGAATGCTCTCTTATTACTTTCTTGTGAGACAGTCTTGTGACTGGTTATATTTTGGGCAGAACAGTTGATGAATCATGGGATATCAGAAGCAATAGAGGAAATGAAGAAGGAGACAGAGGAGTTTTTTAAGCTGTCATTGGAGGAGAAGATGGTGTGTGCACAGCTACCAAATAGCATAGAAGGTTATGGGCAAGCATTTGTGGTGTCTGAAGATCAAAAGCTTGACTGGGGAGACATGCTCTTCCTTCTCCCCCTTCCACTCCCTCTAAGAAATCTAAGATTCTGGCCTACCACTCCCCCCTCTTTCAGGTACATAAATATAATAAAAACATTGTCAAAGCACCATCCAATGTAGTTGGAAAAAACAAACACATATCCTTGAAATAACACAAAATTTTAACTCATGTGATATCATTAAGGCTTACTTTGGAAGTAAGTTTACCGACTTAAAAAGGCTAATGCTAAAAACCTAATTTGTCTGGTACATTTTGCGACTTATTATAATGCCTTTTTTAGAGTGATTAAAGTAAACTTTTTGACGAGAAATGAATTTTCCCAATGATCCAAGGCTTTTTTAACTAATAAACTGGCTTTTTAACCACAACCAAATGTACCTAAACTTTAAAACAATACAAAGTCCGTACATCATGATTTGGTCATCATGCTAACCAATTTTTTTGGCATGATGTGTGTATATATATCAGATCAACATTGGATAGGTACTCTTCAGAGCTGAAGAGAGTTGCAATCAGCCTCTTGAGGATGATGGGTAAAAACCTTGGGCTAGACCAGGAGGCATTCACAGCCTTGTTTGAGGACTGTGTGCAAGGAATTAGGATGAATTATTATCCACCATGTGAGCTTGCAAGCAAGGTCATGGGCCTCACACCCCATTCTGATGCCACAGGACTCACCCTTCTGATTCAAGTCAATCAAGTCCAGGGGTTGCAGATCAAGAAAGACGGTGAATGGGTTCCCATTAAACCCCTTCCAGGTGCAATTATCATCAACATTGGCGACATTTTGGAGGTAATTAATCAAGATAAATGTTATAGTGATTACATTTGAGCATAATTTATGTAGTATCTTACGTGACACTAATAAATCCTGATTTATCTTAAAAGCTACTAATATCCTATAAAGCCTATGAAATGATGTGATAATACCATATAAGCATCGCATCAGATACTAACTAAATGTAGTCATCCCAACATTACTCACTAATAATGGTTTATCTATCTTAAAAACGAACATTACCTTCAAACTCTACACTTTTGAAGGCTAAACCTACTTGTCCATTCCCCAACTCAATCCAACTAGAAAAAATTTAGTATGGAAGCACCATAAAGACACGTATGTAGTGTCCTAACCAATAACGCCGTGCCAAAGGTATGGAAAAGGTTGACCTTATCTCCCATTCAATCGATCAACGATGGGTCTGGTCACCTCATTCATCCCGTGACTATTGCATTATTGGTCAGAAAACACCATAAATGCGTTCCAAATTGGTGCTTATCCAACTATGCAATAATTGGGAAAGTAGAGACTACACACACCTTGTGTTTAAATTTGAATGCAGATACTAAGTAATGGAGAATACAGCAGCATTGAGCACAGAGCTGCGGTGAACACAGAAAAGGAACGGCTCTCCATCGCTGGATTCCATAGTCCAAACTTGAAGGCCATGGTTGGTCCTTTCCCTGATCTAGTGAATGAAGAGAATGCAGCAAAATACAAGACCATCAGCCATGAGGACTATGTGAAACTGATCATCAGCAGTAAACTTGATGGTAAAAGCCTACTGGATCATATGAGAATCACACACTGAAAGGGGGAATTGTGCACCGTGACCAAGCCCCTTGTATTTATTTTTCTTATATTGTTCAGCTTTGATCCAAGTTGTCGTTTACCAAAAAAATGACCTTGCAATGTCTACCAGATTGTCCAAGCCATACTTATTTCAAATAAACATGAAGACCTTCATTCATAGTAGCAGAATATGAAGTACATCAGTTCAAAACATCCCCAAGGTGAATCGAAGTATGCTTGTCTAGCCGACCAAGTTGGCATTATGGGCCTGCTTTACAATACATGATCATGTTTGTTTGGGTAGCTTGGGGTTGGATTAATTATCTGACAAGATGCATAATCCGATGTTTGGCTAAGAAAAATGGGATCTAGACATAGTATTCCGTATATGAGGGACTATTGAATCCCAAAATGGAGGATTAAGGAAAGGTTTGTTAAATTGCAAAATAGGTAGGATATTGTCAATCCCTCTTTTACAATCTTAAGCCAATCTAAGGACTAACAATCCTAGGAATACTAATCTCATCTAATCCAGTTCATCAAAACAAACATGACCGTAGTAGACATCATAATCAGAACATAACGACAATGTCCTAACAAAATCTGACATCATCGAACGATGCAGTTGTATCAGATTACTGATTTATCAGTACCTCACAATCTGAAGACAAACCTCAGTTTCCGGGTGTCAATCCAGCATGCAATGCTTGGAGACAAACCACAGCCCTTCAAGAAACTTTGTTCCTGCAGCTACCTTCCTCCCTGTATAGTCGAACAAAACACTGCCAGGACTGCCCAAACAGAACCATCTACAGCAACAACATTATCAACATGAGTCCACCTCTGTTTGAGGGCTTGACAGTCCTTTAATTGATTATTGCTCCTACAGGAGCTCCCATTTTTCCTCGACATAGACAACACTTTTGGTCTTGTTGCCCAACTAGCTCTAATTTCTTGAAAGGTGATGTCAACACTTTTGACTTGAAACACCAAACTGATTTTAACTTTCCATGAACAACACACAAATAACATAAATAACCATATCCAGTTCGGGTGCTTCCTCAACCCACCAAGACCACCAATTCACCAAAAGACAACTAGTCACTCCAAAGCCATCTCACACCTAGGCCCATCCTTCATCCTGACTGAGCATTCTACTATATTTCATAATAACTTTGGACAGTAATAGCTTATTCAAACATCTCCAAAAGAAACACTAAAACTTTGGGGTTCCAAATTTTTTGAAATATTGATGGAACCCATTCCTATAGTCCTGAACAACTAGTATGATGAGTTGCTCTGCCCATTGTCTCTATATTGCTAACATTCTCAACATTCTTCACAGAAATAGCCTCCCACAAAACCCAAACCAAAGTCAAGAAAGCTTTTCTTGTTCTTTCTTTTACTTGTCTTGGGTTCAGAACAGGTAAAGATGATGAATATATACTTAACTATACAACAATGCTACAATAACCAAAATCATCGATCTCTCACAAATGTTGACAACTGTACATATGAACAAAATGCTCGCAACTAAAGATGAGCACATTTGTGAGGAGTCTGCGGTGATCGGATTTTTCAGTGCATCTTTTTCCTTAACTTCAAATTCTGGACCCTACTATCACATTGTGCACAAAGCAGCCATTATCTCTACTTGCCTCCATGATATTTACATACAAATAAGTAGCTAAATTTACAATCCTCTGTGGTGGATCCCACTATGTGAGAGTGAATATATTTAACAATTTGCCAAAAATATCATCAAAAACATTAGCCACGTCTATATCAAATAAAAAATGCCATGCATACCTAAAAATGTGCGCACCGAAATCACCAACGTCTCACAACAGGTGATTGCAGTGTGAGTATTTTTCAGTATGAGTAGCTTCTTTTATATTGAAAACCACTTCTGCCCTCTCTTCTTCTCAACCTAGCCTCTCAAAAGCTATCCAACGTAAGAACAATCTTTCTTCCAACCACCATCAACCAAAAGGCCAACCAAATTGCCAAGCATAGAAATCTATTGAGTAGAACACCACAAAGGATAATCCAATTGACAAAAACTAGCAACAAGGTTATGGCCTCCAAAGAGATCATAGTCTTCCTTTCATGAACCAGGATAAATGGTCGAAAGCTAGGTCTAGGGTCTCCAAGGGAATCAATGACTTAGACTACAAGCAATAATTATTATGCCCAACCCAAAATGCCCAAATAATAGCAAAAGGATCAAGGGCCATAATCAACCACTCAAAGAGCATCTCTAAATTCTACTATGATTTGATAAAATCAAAAACCATAACATCAAGCAGATTAGTCAGAGAGTTACTTATCTATGCTAGTGCCTCCTTGTTAGCATCTATCTTATATTTGATCCACCACTAATGAAGAAGCAACCCTTACAATTCAGAATAACCATCAGTGAAACTATAAAAAAATATTCAAATCAGGAACCAAAAATATTCTATGTGAATTATGTATAACAAAAGTAATAATCTGAAACAATAAACAGACTTTAAAAAAAAAATCATAAATAAACTCAAATTTTATAATCATCATTAATATTTTAAATTTTATCCCCTCAACAAAAAATTGCTATATTTTATGCTGGTTGATCTTTTGATTTATTTCAATTTCGACCTTCTATTAATATTATATTATGAAAATAGGACAAAAAAGTTCACACCCAAAAAATATAAAAATAACCAAAATGTTCATTTAAGAACTTTTCTTTTTCTTTTTTTCTTTTTCTTCTTCTTCTCTTGATGGGATTTAAGAACTCGTTTATTTACATACATGTTTGGGATATGTGTATCTTCCCATCTTCTATGAAGAAATATGTGAAAAATATATGTACATATTTTACATGTATGTATTATAAATCATCTGTTTAATAAATATTTTTGTCATAAAATTGGTATGTGCAATTTACATGTCACTTTTTATTTTCTTTTTGTTAACTCAAGATCGAGATTAAAACATATCATTAGAGAAGCAAAATATAACAATTTTTAGTTAAAAGTGCCAAATTTATTTAGTAAAAACCTTGAAAAATAGTCAATATTTATCGCGCTAAGTGAGTGAGTTTGAAATTTAGAAGATGTTTTAGAGGCGGGCTTAGAATGATTGTATTGGGCCCAATGTCGGGCCAGCCTGAGCTTGAGATGATATATATGCTCTTGAGATGATATATATGCTCTTACTATACAGTGCAAGTCTGGCTCAAATCCTGATCGATGCAAACCCCTACTTTCTGTTGTGTGCAGAGTCTACACCATGGAGCTATTATTGTACAGCTTGGGGGACAATCCTGACGTGAAACTTGTTTGGTTGTGATTAGTTTAAACAATAGAATCACTATTTATGTTAGTAATTTACTTGACAATACATAGTGCGATTTTAAAAAAAGATAACCAAATCATCAATGGCAAATTGACTTGTTTTGCCAACAGTCATTGAACTCAATCCCAAATTTAATCAAATTGAATCATCATAATACTAAATATATATCTTAAGCAGCATAAGATTTTCCTTCTCAATGCCCCAAATCCTTAATCGGATAAAATCAACGTAATAATACAGTGACACACCTTGCCTTACTATAAATCCAGAATTTACATAAAGATCATTTCAATAATTTTACAGCAAGTATGTCCTGTCATCAGCGAGATCTTCCTGAAACTACTTTCTAATGATGGGTTTTCCAGACAGAATATGTATATCTGATCAAATTCAGAACAAGGGTGGGAAGGAATGGGGAAGAAATAAGATAGCACCAACTCAGTTGGTGCTGTGCTTTCGGGTCAGTGAAGATGTAAGGGAAAGACAAAGGGAGTAAGGAAACAAATCTTGACAGAGTGAGAGAAAGGAGATATGAACTTTTCCACCTCCAATGTGTATGGTAGGAGATGCTATCAGTCAATCCTAACAACACATCACTGAAAAATGCTACTCACAGAACAATCATCATGAACACGCCAAATGGTTTCACCCAGTAGGTTTGCGACTGAAAGAACTGTCAACTGTGGGAAGTAGTTCTTCTCCATCACTGGTATCGTGTTTGTAACGATGACCTCTTGAAACAGTCCGCTAGACAGTCTTTCAACGGCAGGAGGGCTGTAAAGAAAAAAAAGGAATCCATATAGATACTAGGTAAATATAAAATGCATCATCTAAATCTGTCACCTCATTTTCGAAGAAACATTGTCAAGAAGGTGTTGTCGATCATGGAATCATAAATTGTGGCAATTAGGGATTTGCAGGCAAGCTGAGCTCACATAGGAGATTCATAACAAGCCACTCAACTAACTGAATCTAGACATTTATGAACCACTCACTTATTAAGAGTTTTTAAAAGTTGAAAAACATTCTAACAAAAAGTAAAGATGGGTTCCTGCCACTTCAATCGTTTCAAGTCCAACATCTTAATTTCCTTTTCTAAAAAATAATCAAGAAATTGAAATTTGATCGAAATTTTGAAAAACACAAGATCTGCTGCATGCATTTAGAGAGGATCGAAGCAAAGATCAAACACCATGGATGAAGCAATTACCTAAAAACAGCATGAGTGCTACACGCATAAACTTCCCTGGCCCCCTCTTCATGTAACAGAGCTGCACCTTTTGCTATAGTACCTACAACCCACCATTTACTAGTTAACTACAACAATTCAAGGGAAAATTATATTTGTCGTCCTGTAAGTTGCCTCTTGTGTCAATTTGATCCATTCAAAAGGGAATTAATCAAATTGGACTCCAATCCTTCAATCAAATTGAAGAGAGTGAATGGACTATTTTGCTTCTTGATTTCACTTTAACTTCTAATAGGGCATTATCAATTAGATTTAAATTGACACAATACAAAAAATTCAATGATAAAATTGATACAATTAGAACAAAAAAACTAAATAATCAAATTGACACAAGAGGCAAACTGTAGGTACTACATGTGTAATTTGTCCAAAATTCTTAGTATTTAATGTCTAAAAAAAAAAAAAAAAAACAACCCTAGTATTTCCTTCAAAAGAGGAACTTCTTCCTGAGGTAATAAAATAACACTTGGAACAATCAACTCTTGAGTAATTACTTATTGGAAAATTGCAAAATAAAGAAAGAACCTCCCACGAGACTAGAAGTCGAATCCAGACAGCATAATCATACCGGACCCAACATTTAAAGCTAAGCAGAGAGCAAGATACATATCAATTGGACATGATAACAGACGGTCATGCCCTCAATTAAAAATTGATTTATATTATACGTGATATTCTAGTGGATAGATATACACACATACATATAACACTAAAACTAGGACAAGTTGTTCTTTAAAAATAAAGTGATGGAAAATTTGATCATGACACATTGAGTCAACAATTCAGCATTGAAAATAGCATGAAAAGAAGCTCTTTTTCTTTCTCTCTTCACTTTTTGAAATCCATTCCTAATTAATGATCTATAAGCTGACATCTAGATGACTTCAACTCACCAGCAGTGTCAATCATGTCATCCACCATGACTGCAACTTTTCCTTTAACATCTCCAATGAGATTCATCACCTGCACAATGACATTAAAAATATTAAATAATAGACATGAAAACACTTTCACAAGAAAGAGCAGCAAAGAAGAGCTGTGACAATTCTTTCCACTTAATCTCAACAGTTAATAGTGAAAGAATAACAATCAGTATTCTTATGATGCTTCCTGACAACAACCAGCTCCAAGGTACCCAGTTTCAAGCATACTGCGTGCTGATGACATGCATGCTGTCTAGCTCATGGTACAGAATTGGAGACAGCAAACATACATTCTTCTAAGCTGGCTCACTATTAGTTGGAGAAATAAAATCTAACATTTAACGTCACATGTGCTGATATACCAGGGAGCATTGGAACTTGAAACAATTCCCAAGCAAAACTGTTTAACCAAGTATAACTCATCAAGTTGCCAAAGCCCCAGACAAGGATGCTGAAGAAAGAAAGATAGCAGACACAATCATTTGAAAGTCCAGGAACTGAAATTACCTCAGCAAGGTTGTGCCCGTGACGCCTTTTATCCACAATGGCTAAAGGTGCATCAGATAATTTTTTTGCAAAAGCGCGTGCTCTTGCAACCCCTCCAACATCAGGTGAGACCACTACCAAATCATTGGAGCAAACCCTCTTGCTAGCAAGATAATCAAGAATCACATGCTGTTGCAAAAAAATAAATAAGGACATAAACAATAATTTTACAATCAATGAATATAAAAGTGATTGAACCAAAGGAGGCAATGCTATGGACTCATTACCTGACAGTGTACGTGATCCACTGGAATATCAAAATAACCGATGGATTGGCCGGAATGAAGATCGCAAGCAAGAACACGATCTGCACCTGCTTCAGTGATAAGGTTTGCTACAAGTTTGGCAGCAATGGATTCACGCTCTTGTGTCTGAAGAGAAAAATAAAAATGAAGAGGACGATTTCTCAAAACATAAGATAATTCCCTATTCAAAACATAGGATGATTGGGACTCCATATTGACCAAATTTTTTTTTATATAAAAAAAGGGGGAATAGTTATTAAACAGTTGCTCGTCATGGTTGGTGTCATGCCTCATCCTTGGAGATCACCTGCTATGGGAATATCAAAACATAAATCCCCATGAAATACATGTCTGCCAGATAACCCATGCCTGTGTGATCTCTAACTATACTCAGACCACAAATCTACAAAATAGTTCATCCAATCTGCACCTTAACGTAAACTTGCCTTTCTATCAGCTCTGGCATACCCAAAATATGGAATCACAGCAGTAATATTTTTGGCTGATGCCCTTCGACAAGCATCTATCATTACTAAAAGTTCCATGAGATTTTCGTTTGCTGGAGGGCAGGTGGGCTGCACTAAGTACACATTGCATCCTCTAACACTTTCTTGCAACTGAACATAAATCTCGCCATCAGCGAACCGACTTATGTTTATTTTTCCCAGATCAAGGCCCATGTACCATGCAATTTCCTACGCAATAAAATGCCAATAAATTATTAATGAAAAATTTAGGAGGTTCATAAGTAGCTCAAAATAACAAATTCATACTACATCATAACCATTGGCACCTTTCAATATAGACAAACACCCTCTACATCTGTTTCTTACATTTTCTTTTTTAGGGAAAGGGGCCAGGAATAACTACAAAATGGATGAAACAAAGTTAAAGTAAAGTAGGATAATGAGGATGTCATACACAAGGATCTGGTATCCTTACCAGTGGGCAAAAAGATAAGGCATTTCATCGAAGTCCCTAACAAAATTAATTTAGTTTGCCTGTACGGAACTACCAATTATCCTACTTTCAAAAAATTAATTGGCTTGCAGAAGTTCGAAAGTGAAACTGGATGTCTTTGAAGTACTTAATTCACACCATTAAGAATACAACAAATGTCAAAATCCCAACGGATGGCTCGAGGTTCCTACTAAAATATCATGCTCTTTAACACTATAAGTGACAGCAGTTAAACACACTCAAAACATATCAAAATAAAACAATAGAATTAAACAAACAATTACTTGATATAACATCAGACAATTTCCTAAGACAATCCCACATCCCACTTAGAAATTTTCACCTATTTTTAACTTTCAAAAAGTTCTTAGATGAAGTTAAATTTAGGACTTCTTTTCCCTCATAAGAATACAAGTTAATAACTCCTGCAACTAAGACGTTAGTCTCAGGCTTCATATATAATGATCGGCGGTAAATTTTGTTGTTTCCATGGTTGAATATATATGGCGGAGCTGTTATGAGAGCATACTTTAAATAATTTAAGAGTAATTATGAAAAAATCCGTTGTATGGTATTTTCCAAAAAATTAGGGTGTGGTTCTTGGAAAATTCAAATGTCATGCATAGCACTCAAATTTTTTGGGTCATTTATCTCTTAATCTACAATTTTCATGTTTTTTTGGAGGCTAAAGCACCATATATAGCTGAATAGTTAAAAAGGTTTCATGTATCCAACCCCAAAATGCTGGAATTCAAGGCTAACCCAAGCTGACTAAGATACAAAGGACACTTCACAAGAAGTAATATCTGAATCTTTTACGGTGCCAAATCCATCAAACACACTATCCACAAAGAGAAGCTATGATTGTGTTAGTTTTGAAATCCAATGCACCTAATCTTGCAATGACATTAAATTAATTAGGAAAAAAATGCAAGGGCCTTTTACCTGAGAAAGAGCAGGATTTGCCAGGCCAGAGAATATTTTCAACCTATTATGGTTTCTATTAACTGCACTACTCTCTAGGCGCTTGGATGCCAAGAACTTGGACAATGTTCCTTCACTAAGAATTGGAACGCACGGCTTTCGATTCAACGGTTCACCATGATCACATCTCTAAAAACCAAAAATCAACAAATTATTTTTTTGATCGGTAAAGTGAAAATTTCATCAAAAAAAGGTAAAAAAATCAACAAATTATGAAGGCTAACCAACTTATTTATACAATAGAAGAAAAAAAACCAAAACTTTATATGCAGACAGTGACAGAACAGAGCTTCACCTTCTAGTTACTAAAATTTATTAGGAAAATAGCTAGGGATTTAATATAAATTGCTCCAAATAACTTGTAAAATTGACTGAACCCAAACATGTTTTCAATAAAAATAAATAAAAAAAAGCATTCTTCCAATGCACTTGCTAGTTGACAATAAAATAGTATAATTAAACAAATTGAACCCATATTGGTACCTACAATAAAAAAAAAGAAAAAAAAAAGGTTGATTGCTAAAAAAAATGGAGGAAAAGAATTTACAGTAAAAATATGTTTTTTTAACAAGAAATGCACAGCACCGTGAACCAAAGCAGTGGAATGTGATATTGGGAAGTGGGCATTATTTCTCCTTTTTTTCTTTCACTTTCTCGGCAGCCAAACGAGATAATAATCTGAAGATTGAAGAGAAAAACTTACGACAAGGTTTAAAGCGCGGATTCGAGAAGTAGGCTCGTTGGGAAGGAAAATTCGGCGGCTGAGAGAGGAGCGAGAAAACAGAGACGAAGAAGATGACGATGTTGAAGAAGAAGAAGAAGAAAAAGATGACGAAGGTGAGGGCAAAACCAGAGAAGCCATGTTCATATATAGATTTATATGTATGTATTTGCGTAGGGTGAAGGCAAGGGTCTGTTGTTCGGTTAGAGAGAGAGAGAGAGCACTTTTGGAGCTACTTTTCTGGTTTCTATGGCGCTTTGCTTGTTAGCTTTCTCTGTTATATATTTTCGTGGGGGAACAGCGCCGCACAGGTTGCAGCCCTCGAACGACGCCGTTTACATAGTCTAAACCATTATTTATTTATTATTTTTGTCTTTATATATTTTTGGAAAAAATGTTTGACATCTTCAAAAACTACTGATAATTTTTTACTTAATGGTGTGCCTGGATATCTGTTAATTTTAATTTGTTATACATTTAATGATAGTAAGTTCAATTTTCATGGGATGGTAAATTTACAGATATAAATGTGTGGGTCTCTAATATAGGTAAGGTTAGAGATACTAAATTTTCTTTCAAATAAATGACTAAATGTGTGTAGGTCTGCAATGCGACAATGAATTTTATGGATAGAGTGGTGATTGAGACCATCATCCCCACAAATGTATACCATTCATGATGTAAACTCTACACATATATGAGTGAGTCTCACACATATATGAAGGGCCAAGATTCTAAACATTTCCCTTTATGGATATAAATGTGTGGATCTCTAATATGGATAAGATTAGAGATATCAAATTTTTTATTAAATAAATAAAAATATCTCTCATGAGTGTTGGTCTACTCACTTTCTAAACTCACTAGTCACTTTTTTGGCATATTACTAGATTTAAAAAATAAAAAGTAAACTTACTCCTTTTATAAATGAAATCAATTTTATAGTAAATCAGAAATAAACTTCCTCATTTTGATAGAAATTAAATTACATTTACATTCTTGTTAAAATTCGTGACAAATGCAAGCTGCTTACCCCATCATAAAAAATAAAATAATAATTCTTGAGATATTACTAGATTTAAAAAATGAAAAGTAAACTTATTCCTTTTATAAATGAATTCAATTTTATAGTAAATCAGAAATAAACTTCCTCATATTGATTACATTTACATTCTTCTTAAAATTCGTGCCAAATCCAAGCTACTTACCCCATCATAAAAAATAAAATAAAAATAAAAATAATAATAATACCTACTTTTGTAACCCTCAAATAACCTTATATTTGTTTGAACAAACTTGCTTAGATGTAATTAGTATTTTTAAGACTATTGAGATTATCAATCTTTTTTATTTATTTTTTTATATTTTGTATTACATTCTACATTTGAATTGACTCAATATTATAAAGAAGAATTGATAAAATCTAATTTTTTTTGTAATTTTATCAATTAGTATGAATCTTTCATCAATTTTCCATTTTAAAATTCATTTATTGGGATCCAATAATCCATTATATTGGGAAATTATCATGTCCAATGAATTATTAATTTAGGTCAAGTTTGGGAAGACTAAATAAGTGTACTTTTTGACTTTTTATGAAATATGGGTTGGATTTGGATTGGATTTGAAGTGATGTGTTAGAGAGGTGATGTAACTTAAATGAGATGATGTGATTTAAATAAGATAGTGACTTTTTGACTTTTTAAATTTTTTAAAAGATGTCAAACCTGCCCTTAATATATGGAAGGTAAAATCTAACTACAATTTCCCTGACTTCGAACAAGATGGTCAACGCCAAGTCTAATAAATGCAGACCAATCACTCCTAAAAATTTGTAAATGTGAGACATGATCCTACAAAAGTGAGACATGATCCTATAAAAAGTGAAACTGATGTGAGAAGTGATAGAGAGCTTGTCTGGGAAGATGAGGGTTGGGCATTTTTAGTTAAAATAGTCATAAAAAAATAAAATAAATTTTTTAATTTAAAAAGATAAAATATTACATCTAATTCATAATCATTACATTTTTTCTCTCACAAAAAATTAAAAAACTCAAAAAATTCTTTCCAAACGAGACTTTTTAACTCAAAATTAAAAAAATCAAAAAATCAATCAATTTTTCATACGAACCCAGAGAAATCTCAAGTGTGTTTAATGATCACCTTGAGGGTATAAGCATAGTCCACAAAACTCATAATAAAATAAATAACATTACCTATTCTCACATTCATATATTGGTTTAGTCATGGACAATAGCCTTGTTTGGTAGAGTTGTGGGAAAGTGCTTATAGCTTATGCCTAAAGAGCTTATAGCTTATAACTTTCAGCTTAAGCTGATTTCCAGCTTATTCTTAAAGTATCTCCTGCCCCACTCAAAGAATAAGCTGATTTCTGACTTCCACAAAGCTATAAGCTATAAGCTATAAGCTAAACCAAACACATCAAAATAGCTTAAATTAAGCTGAAAGCTGAAATAAGCTGTAAATAATTTCTGCCAAACAACACAATGTCTCTAACAAATCACCAGTCGAAGTTCATTGCTTTTCTTGAATGTTTTATAGGCTATGTTTGGCATGCCTATTTAGATTAAAATAGTCATATAATTATTTTATTTTTTTTCTTATAAAAATTTAAAAAATTTATTTCAAATAAAACTTTTTAATTCTAAATTAAAATAATCAAAAAAATTAAAAAATTAAAAATTCTACTCACATTTTAAAAATAAAGGCATAAAATCATCAGTCAGGTTCATACCAGTACACCACCATTATTGTGGTACGATTTTTCTCCATACGTGCTAAACACAAGATCACGTCTAAATTCACACTTGGACCAGTGAACCAAGAACACGTTTTTTGAGAGAATTCAATGTGAAGTAGTACTAGTAATATTAATTCAATAACAACGTGTGAACTCAAGGTTGACTATGGTGGCCTGAAATCGGCCACGTCAAGTGGGGTGAGTATAAGCAACGGTAAAATTTAGTACTCCTCTGTTTTAAAATAAATTTTTTTTTTGAGAAATTTTTTTTAATAATATAATTATTATATTTTAAAAAAATTAATTTTTTAAAATTATTCTTTGGTAATATATTTTTTTAGAAAATATCAATATCATAATTGTACATTTTATATTATTAATAAATTTAAAAGAGAACAAAATAAGAAATTTATATTATTTTTGTACTTAATTTTTAAAAGAAACTAATATTTTATGACAATGAAAAATAAAATAGAGAACTAATATTTTAGGATAGAGAAAATATTTAAGAGATGAGTAATGTTAGATATTTTAAAAAAATTATTAAAATTTTCATCAAATATTTTATATAAATTTAAAATTTATTTGGTGTAAATCTTACATTTATATAAAGTATTTAATAAAAATTTTAATAAATTTTTTAAAATCTCTAACATTTTATTTAAATATGGGCAAATTACATAAATAGTCTCTATAGTTTTGGACTTGTGTCACTTTGATTCCTGACTTTTCAATTGTGACATATTTGACCTTAAATTTTGAATCTTGTTTCAAATAAGGACAATTAAATATATAATTAGATTTTTCAAGAATAAAATTGTCAATTTGATAAAATATAAACTAATTTGACAAAAATAAATGTAAAACAAATATTTTTGAATTTTTAAAAATTATTTCTACCTACTAAAAATAAAATTGTGTAAAACTGACAAATCTTGTAGATATTTTTTTTTTACCAAATTAATTTTTATTATGTGTTTAGATGATGATCATGTAAAATTAATTTTAAAAAATTAATCATGTAATTTTTATTAATTTTATATAATTTTATAATTGGTGGATAAAAATATTTTTTTGACATTTATTTTTATCAAATTAGTTTATATTTTATCAAATTGACGATTTTACCCTTAAAAAATTTAATGATATTTTTAATTGTCCTTATTTAAAACAAGATTCAAAATTTAAGATAAAATATGCCACAATTAAAAATTTAAAAATCAAAATGACACAAACCTCAACTTATAAGGATTATAATTAACCCTTCAAATATTCCCAGTGACTGATGGTACAAATTCCCCCATTTTGACGAAGACTTTGCGCAGCGTCCCGTGACAATCGTGCTTCAATCATTGTCGGTAATTACACGTTTTACTCAGATTTCGAGCAAGTTTGGCAGTATATTAAAAGGCAAATAATAGTACAATGTAACAGTTAAAAATAATTACAAATGAGGAAAAAAAAATTTAGAATAAATTATTAATTAATCTTAGTAGTTAGATTTAATTCTAATCAAATAAAATCGTCGTTAAAATAATTTTTTATGATAATTTTATATATATGTTGAGAGGATAATTTATATATAAATTGGGCCAAGTTAGGTAATGAGCCGTTCATTGGGCCACGGCAAGAAGGGCTGAGTAAAAAGGCCATAAAGTTACTCCGGTCTAAAAAAGGCTTGAAGTTATTCCGGTCCCAAAGAGCTTACGGTAAGCTCGGTCGTCACACACAAAGTTATCCCGATCGGGACTACGTATCAGTTATCCCGGTCGAGACATACCATGGTTAGCACTGGGAGAAACCGGGGTAAAAGTAGTGAATAGAAGAGCCGAGCTAAATTTAGCTCGGTCTAGTTTGCGGCTTAGCACAGCCATGCTTACCTCGGTCATATTGGAGTCCGACCATGGTAAAACCATCTCACTTGGTTTAAGCAGTGAGGAGGGTGTTGAAAGATAAGCATTATCTTTCAGGAGTATGACTCCTAGGAGGACTCTACGTGGAGGAGTAAGAGTCCTACTAGGATTGTGCCACGCGGAACCTATAAAAGCTCACAACATCACCTATGGAGAGGTAACACAACTTTGATTTTCGAATACACAGAGCTTTTGTCTATTTGTCTATTTTGCTGACTTAGGCATCGGAGAGGTATCCGGCACACACCTGCCGGTTAGCTCACGTTTGTGTTTTCAGGGAGTAAAACAACGTCGTACGAAGGAGCGCAGACTTGATCAACAGGATTATACGAGAAGAATTATTTCGTGCTCGTACAAATTACCGGGGTATTGAGGCAGACCCCTCCCAGATCAAAGCTATTCAGGATCTGGAGAGGCCTAACTTAGTAAAAGAAGTGCAGCATCTCACCGGCATGGCAGCTACACTCAATCGATTCATTAGCCGGTCGTTAGACAGACTACGACCATTTTTTCTAACATTTAAAGCCAAGTTCGAATGGGACGAAGAATGTGACCGCGCTCTGGAAAACTTGAAGGAATACATGTCTTCTCC